TTCTCTCGCCCACCGGGTGCACTCCCCCTCCCGTCCCCCTTAACTCTTTCAGCTGGGTTGGAGCTGAGAAAGCGTTTGTCGCCGCCAGCCCCATCCACCACGCAAATCCATCTGAGACAGAAAGGAAAGAAAAAAAAAAGCACCACCATGCCTAAGAATAGAGAGCGGGCAAACCCCCCACCGCTAATAACACACACACACACACACACACACACACACACACACACACACGAGGAAGCGGTGGAGCAGAGAAGGGCGCGGCTAGCCGATTCCGGTTCTTTCGCCCGGCTTCTGCTGCCGCGGGAATTCCTAAAGCCATCGGGGTCGAATACACTTACGATGAATCTATGGGGGAAGGTCGGACTGATTGCTTTTCAAATACATCGCACGGCTCCGCTGACCGGCACCCTCCAAACTCACAAGGGCACGCACGCTACTTGCACGAATCCCAGAGGAGGGAGGAGGGAGGAAGGGAGGGAGAGCGAAGGAGGGAGAGAGGGGGTGGAGAAGCGAGCAAGCGGCGGCAGCGAGCGGTCCGTCTCGCACGCGCGGGCACCGCGCTGGTCCTGGGCTGCAGGTTTCCCAGATGATGGCATCCGAGAACTTAAACAAAGGGGGCTGCCGCCGGCGCGCAGCGGCTGCGGAAAGTTGCGGTGGCGGATTTCCAAGGAGCGCGGCCACGACCCGAGCTCTTGGCGATGCGAGCCCCCGCTTCCCACCCCCGCCGATCAGAGATGGGGGCCGGCTGGTGAAGGGAAGAGGAAACTTTGAAACCACTGGGGACACATCTGTCTATAGGTATTAGCTTGAATGGTACATCCGTGCCGCGCGCTTTACAAATCTCTGGCGGGGCGGGGGTAAGGGGGTGAGCAATCCGACGCGTACTAGGTGGGGTGGGCAGGTTGCTATTTTTCATGTTTCCCTCTTCGTTTTCCTTCTGATTCTCTTCCCCTCTCCCGTCCCTCCCTCCCTTTTATCTCCCCTTTCTTCCCCCCGCCCAGACCTATTGCGAACACCCAGAGCCGCCGAGGGAACGCCAACGTCTGGGCCGGACACTAAGAGTTAAGATGTGGCGGAGGGGGCGGC